TCCTCCCTCTTTACATTCTCTTCTCCCTCTTTACATTCTCTCCTCCCTCTTTACATCCCCTTTACATTCTCTCCTCCCTCTTTACATCCTTTACATTCTCTCCTCCCTCTTTACATCCTTTACATTCTCTCCTCCCTCTTTACATCCTTTACATTCTCTCCTCCCTCTTTACATTCTCTCCTCCCTCTTTACATCCCCTTTACATTCTCTCCTCCCTCTTTACATTCTCTCCTCCCTCTTTACATCCCCTTTACATTCTCTCCTCCCTCTTTACATTCTCTTCTCTCCTCCCTCTTTACATTCTCTCCTCCCTCTTTACATCCCCTTTACATTCTCTCCTCCCTCTTTACATGCTCTTTACATTCTCTCCTCCCTCTTTACAGTCTCTCCTCCCTCTTTACATCCTTTACATTATCTCCTCCCTCTTTACATTCTCTCCTCCCTCTTTACATTCTCTCCTCCCTCTTTACATCCTTTACATTATCTCCTCCCTCTTTACATTCTCTCCTTCCTCTTTACATTCTCTCCTCCCTCTTTACATCCATTACATTCTCTCCTCCCTCTTTACATTCCCTTTACATTCTCTCCTCCCTCTTTACATCCTTTACATTATCTCCTCCCTCTTTACATTCCCTTTACATTCTCTCCTCCCTCTTTACATCCTTTACATTATCTCCTCCCTCTTTACATTCCCTTTACATTCTCTCCTCCCTCTTTACATCCTTTACATTATCTCCTCCCTCTTTACATTCCCTTTACATTCTCTCCTCCCTCTTTACATTCTCTCCTCCCTCTTTACACCCCCTTTACATTCTCTCCTCCCTCTTTACATCCCCTTTACATTCTCTCCTCCCTCTTTACATCCTCTTTACATTCTCTCCTCCCTCTTTACATCCTCTTTACATTCTCTCCTCCCTCTTTACATCCTCTTTACATTCTCTCCTCTTTACATTCACTCCTCCTCTTTACACCCCCTTTACATTCTCTCCTCCCTCTTTACATCCTCTTTACATTCTCTCCTCCCTCTTTACATCCTCTTTACATTCTCTCCTCCCTCTTTACATCCTCTTTACATTCTCTCTTTACATTCACTCCTCCTCTTTACATCCCCTTTACATTCTCTCCTCCCTCTTTACATTCTCTCCTCCCTCTTTACATCCTCTTTACATTCTCTCCTCTTTACATTCTCTCCTCCCTCTTTACACCCCCTTTACATTCTCTCCTCCCTCTTTACATCCCCTTTACATTCTCTCCTCCCTCTTTACATCCTCTTTACATTCTCTCCTCCCTCTTTACATCCTCTTTACATTCTCTCCTCCCTCTTTACATCCTCTTTACATTCTCTCCTCTTTACATTCACTCCTTCTCTTTACATCCCCTTTACTTTACAGATGTAAAGAGGGAGGAGAATGTAAAGGGGATGTAAAGAGGGAGGAGAATATAAAGATGATGTAAAGAGGGAGGAGAGCTTTATGCTTGTTGAACTTGTTGGACAGCGCTGCACAGACGGCTGACTTGAGCAGTGCATGACGGTTAGAGCTTGTGTACGGCTTCAGACAGCGACGCCCCGTGACTGTGACGTATGGTCTCAGAGTACGGCGAGAGCGATTCGAGAGCAGGACTCAGCCAGAGCACTTTCTCCAGAGCGACTCACGAGCTCTGATGACGACACAACTGATCCACGATTTGCCGAATCCACCGCACAAATCTGTTTTTTATAACAGTGAAAGCTCTTTTCATGTAGTCGCGATGTTATATTGTCATGGTTATCAAAATAAAACTGATACAATGTAGACCCCACTTCATTGGGATTTAGGCTTATGTTGAACTATATTCTTGTACAAACAGACGCTGTATTAAGCAGTACATGTATTGAATCAAAATGTCTCTGAAATATCGGTGTATTTGGCAAATAATGCATTTATTCCACTTCAGCTGTGGTAAAGTATGCAAACACAGCGCAAGCGTCACTACGGGAAGCAGAAAGTGTCAAACTCACGTCTCAGTTTTCAGCTCCTCCCGCCTCCACACGGCAACTCTCACCGATCGGTTACATCCAGCCACAGCCCATGTCCAACACAGCTAATCACTCTTCACTTTATCATCTTTACATTCTCTCCTCCCTCTATAACAGAAATATCAAAAAGTTTAACATGACATTCCATCCAACTTCATTGCAACTGAACAAAGAAAACTGAATAAATGAAATTAGACTATATTACTATCCTCTACTTCTTCATTAGCTTTCTTATACTCTAACTTTTCACTTTATATTCTGTTTCATTCCATCCTCAGAATATTTCTACACCTTTATCCTCATTTCTTTTAATTAAGCTCAATTTCTTACAAAAAGAGCATAATATGCAAAGTGTTGAAGTGTTGATGGCTCCCTACAAACCACCCTTTCTTTTAAGAGTCGTGATCCTGTTCCGCACATAATTTTTCACACCAGTCCATGTTCGCTGCTTCAAAGCTTCTGGCTCTGCGTGAATGCATCTTTCACAGTCTTGCTTACCAGGAACTTTGCATGTCTTGATGAACTTCATCATGTGTCTCTCTACTGCTTTTACCTCACTGTCCTCCCATTTCTTTTTTGGAGCGTGTGAAGAACCTATGAAATAGTTAAAAAGTAAATTCTCATTACAACTAAATCGGTGAGTAAAGACCAAATCAAGATTGTGTCCTCATGTGTTGATTATTTGAATTTGGCTGGATATTGCTGCTTGGAGCTAATTCATGTTTATTTGATTATTGTTGTTTGTGCAGTTTAGAGATTTTTCTTACATTGATCCACCTGTGAAACAGATTGATCAGATTGAACAGGTTGAACAGGTTGATCAGATTGAACAGGTTGAACAGGTCGATCAGTCTCTGCTGGTGCTGTTGTCTGAGATAGGTCACTGTAGTCCTCCTCATCACTTGACATGGAATCACCTTGGGCCTCAAGTTGCTCTAAATAATTAAATGACAATAAAATTAACACTATATTGCTTATACTTAGTATCTGTGACATGATGTGTTTTGCAAATAAGTACAGCACAGATACACACAGACTAAATATACTCATACCATTTGGGTCAATTTCAATGTCATCAAGTTTCTTTCCTTTGTAGTCAGACAGTGTTCCTTTCTCCATGGCCATTAGGACTTTACTCATTTTTGCCAGCTGCAGTGTTCCCTCTGGTAACCGGTAATACTGTCTGTGGATTCTGATATCGTGACCAAGGAAATCAGCCAGTTGGTCTGCTTCATTCTCATCAAGGTTAAGAATTTTAGACATGGTTGCTATGTGTTTCCTGAGCCTAGTTGATGACAGTGCTTCAGGGTTCTTTATGCCACATTCGCAAGCAGCTTTGTTGATGCACTCTCCACCTCTGTAGGCTGACATTGCTCCACATCTGGCAAACATAAAGGGATTCTCTGCTGGAACACCACAAAGCTCCCGCGTTTCAACGAGCAGCTCCATGGCAGAAACCATGGAAGGCTTGAGGAGCACAGGAACCTTTCTGCCTCGTTTACCCCGGATCTCAACTCTTGTGAAGTGCAGACACAGCTTCCTCTCAAACTCAGACAGACAGATGGCAATGTCTTTGTGTAGCTCAGAAGAATCCCTACTTTTAAAAGCTGACAAAAGCATCCGGGATACCTCACCTTCTCTCCTTCGGTTGAACAGGATGACCTGGGACAGTGTGACCTTGGCTAGAGCAGAGTAGCTGTCAGCAGAAGGGCAAGTTCTGAGCTTACTTAGGAGCCCATCGTGTTTCTTTTCAAGATGTGTGTGCAGGACTTTGACATCCTGAGTGAAAGGAATGATCTGTGGTGTGTTCCACTTGGCTTCTTTCAATGTAGTTATAGCACCAGCAGAAATGTACTCATTCCACCTTGCCTGGTGTATTTTCCTGAAGTCTCGGGCGCATTCAGCACGATCATGATCTCCATACATCATGGCATTGCTCTCAACAATGCTACAGACCTTGTTTAAAGAATGCCCAAGTTTGAGAGCTAAAGAAGGAATGCGGTAGGAGTTTTTCTCTTCATTGTAGCCACATAAAACTTTAACAGCTGCTATGACATGTTTGAAGTTTGCTGGTATGAAGAAGTCTACCATTGTTCTCAGTGGGGTAATCTTCCTTGCTTCAAGAAGAAGTCTGCCTACTTCTCTCATCTTCTGTCTGATGTAGTCATGTTTGGTCACATCAGACCCCATCCTGTTGAACATGTGCTCCCCCAGCTGCATGATGCATCTGTCAGTATGAACTACACGCGAAACTTCATCATAGTTCATAAAGGACAGTATTTTCTTGAAACCTTTGCTCACTTCTAAGCCAACTGGTGTGTTTAAAGCACACAGAGATCGAACTCTTTTCCTGCCCTGGGCATCATCCTCTTTAGGTTTAAGGGGACAGTTTTTGATATGCTTCCAAAGGCTATGCTTGTTGTAAAGCCCTTGGCAGTAAATGCAGTGAATAAATTCTTTGGCTCTTTGTCTATTTTTTGGACGGTAGCAGGCAATCATCTCCCCATGTCCTTGTCTCACCACATCTGTGTTGTGGGCAAAGTTGCCCCTTTTTCTAAGGAGGTTTAACTGGACTTGTCTTTCTTTGGAATGTTTTGGAAATGCTATTGCCTTTACAACCCCCACTTCGTTGCGATGGACAAATTCAAGGTGTCTTGCCATTTTTGAATATGGCTTAGAGCAATAAAGGCAATACTGCTTCTTGTTGTACGCCTTGCGTTCCTGCTTTGGTGATGGCATTGACTGAATAAAAGTCTTTTCACCAGACAAAGTGTTTGTCTCTTTAGATTGGCATTTCATCTTTTTTGGTGATGGTGCGGTCATAAATTGATCAGATGAACTACCTGCCTCGTTGGGAGATGTTGGATGTATCAAAGCACTTTTGACCATGTCATGTCCAGAAGAACTACCATCCGATTCATCGGAGCTGATTTTTGGTATGTAGTCAACATCGCTGTAGTCTGTGACATCGCTGTAGTCTGTGTCACAGACGGAACTTCCGGAATACTGAATGAGAGAATTTAACACTTACTCAAGGCAGTGGTTGCTGTAACATTACGTTTCATCATATTGCGGATACTATTATGCAAGCCAATTCATAATTATGCAAAAAAAAATTGCATATAAAGTATCACATGGCAAGTCACATACCTGTCTTTTTCTTGATGGCCTTAAAGAGGATATCTGGAAGAGGATGAATACAAACCAATATAAATGATATATAATTTCATATAATCTATTGTTAGTTCTACCAGTGCAATACACCCCGACCATCCCAATAATTCAGCAAATGAATCTACCCACCTCCCATGAGAGTGTCTCAGACACCTGTGATGAGTGAACCACTGGTGTTGACACAGCACAAGGTGAAGATAAGGGTGGAGCAGGCGAGGATGAGGATGATGAATGCTGCGCATAAGGCGATGAGGGCTTCACAGGCGAGGATGATGAAGGCTGCACAGGCGAGGCTGATGAAGGCTGCACAGGCGAGGCTGATGAAGGCTGCACAGGCGAGGCTGATGAAGGCTGCACAGGCCAGGCTGATGAAGGCTGCCCAGGCGAGGCTGATGAAGGCTGCCCAGGCGAGGCTGATGAAGGCTGCCCAGGTGAGGATGATGAAGGCTGCACAGGCGAGGATGATGAAGGCTGCCCAGGCCAGGCTGATGAAGGCTGCCCAGGCCAGGCTGATGAAGGCTGCCCAGGCGAGGATGATGAAGGCTGCCCAGGCGAGGCTGATGAAGGCTGCACAGGCGAGGATGATGAAGGCTGCCCAGGCGAGGATGATGAAGGCTGCCCAGGCGAGGATGATGAAGGCTGCCCAGGCGAGGATGATGAAGGCTGCCCAGGCGAGGATGATGAAGGCTGCACAGACGAGGCTGATGAAGGCTGCCCAGGCGAGGCTGATGAAGGCTGCCCAGGCGAGGATGATGAAGGCTGCCCAGGCGAGGCTGATGAAGGCTGCACAGGCGAGGCTGATGAAGGCTGCACAGGCGAGGCTGATGAAGGCTGCCCAGGCCAGGCTGATGAAGGCTGCCCAGGCGAGGCTGATGAAGGCTGCCCAGGCGAGGCTGATGAAGGCTGCCCAGGCGAGGCTGATGAAGGCTGCACAGACGAGGCTGATGAAGGCTGCACAGGCGAGGATGATGAAGGCTGCCCAGGCGAGGCTGATGAAGGCTGCACAGGCGAGGCTGATGAAGGCTGCACAGGCGAGGCTGATGAAGGCTGCCCAGGCGAGGCTGATGAAGGCTGCACAGACGAGGCTGATGAAGGCTGCCCAGGCGAGGATGATGAAGGCTGCCCAGGCGAGGCTGATGAAGGCTGCACAGGCGAGGATGATGAAGGCTGCCCAGGCGAGGCTGATGAAGGCTGCCCAGGCGAGGCTGATGAAGGCTGCCCAGGCGAGGCTGATGAAGGCTGCACAGGCGAGGATGATGAAGGCTGCCCAGGCGAGGCTGATGAAGGCTGCCCAGGCGAGGCTGATGAAGGCTGCCCAGGCGAGGCTGATGAAGGCTGCCCAGGTGAGGCTGATGAAGGCTGCACAGGCGAGGCTGATGAAGGCTGCCTAGGCGAGGATGATGAAGGCTGCCCAGGCGAGGCTGATGAAGGCTGCACAGACGAGGCTGATGAAGGCTTCACAGGCGAGGATGATGAAGGCTGCCCAGGCGAGGCTGATGAAGGCTGCACAGGCGAGGATGATGAAGGCTGCACAGGCGAGGCTGATGAAGGCTGCCCAGGCGAGGATGATGAAGGCTGCCCAGGCCAGGCTGATGAAGGCTGCCCAGGCGAGGCTGATGAAGGCTGCACAGGCGAGGATGATGAAGGCTGCCCAGGCGAGGCTGATGAAGGCTGCCCAGGCGAGGCTGATGAAGGCTGCCCAGGCGAGGCTGATGAAGGCTGCCCAGGCGAGGATGATGAAGGCTGCCCAGGCGAGGCTGATGAAGGCTGCCCAGGCGAGGCTGATGAAGGCTGCCCAGGCGAGGATGATGAAGGCTGCCCAGGCAAGGCTGATGAAGGCTGCCCAGGCGAGGCTGATGAAGGCTGCACAGGCGAGGATGATGAAGGCTGCCCAGGCGAGGCTGATGAAGGCTGCCCAGGCGAGGATGATGAAGGCTGCACAGGCGAGGATGATGAAGGCTGCACAGGCGAGGATGATGAAGGCTGCACAGGCGAGGATGATGAAGGCTGCACAGGCGAGGATGATGAAGGCTGCACAGGCGAGGATGATGAAGGTGACGTGGGAGGTGTTGATGTTGATGAGGACAGGGCAGGAGGGCATGAGGTTGATGAGGCCATTATAGAGGTGGACACAGCACAGGGTGCTGATGAAGAGGGTGCACCAGATATGGATGCGACTGAGGATGACTGTAACAGTCTTGATTGAAACCGCTTCTGCAGATATATAAAGAGATATTTAGCTTAAACAAGAATAAAATGACATTAAAAATATTGAAAACTGTGGCACCCATATAAAACAAAACAAACACACTGTAGGGGTAAACAAAAAATAAAGAAACGTGTTTTGCACACTTCAAAGCAAAGATCATTAATAAAATAAAAAACAACAAAATTGTGACAATAGTCAAATTAATAGTTACACTGGTTCAGACATTAAAACTCTGAACCAATAACTACTTAAATGATTAGTTCACTTCAGAATTAAAATTTCCTGATAATTTACTCGCCATCATCACACCATCTAAGATGTTCATGTCTTTCTTTCTTCAGTGTAAAAGAAATGAAGGTTTTTGAGGAACACACTCCAGGTGTTTCTCCATATAGTGACTTCAATGGGGTCCAACGGGGGGGCTTGTTTGTGTGATAGACATTTTGAACAATCTTTAATGACTCGTGACTACTGAGTTGTCTCAGAGAGTGATTCTTTAATTTTGTGTTGACTGCGCACACACAACATCCTATAGGTTCTGTACTGGAAACAGAAATGATTAGTTAAATCACTCGAGTCTTTGGGTCCTTCGTTCTTCCCATCAGTCCCATTGAGGCTATGCTGTCAGTACTGGAAAGATAAATGATTAGTTCACCTCTCAAGTCCTCGAAGACTCAAAATATGAACTAATCAATTCTGCATCCAGTATTGACTGCATAGCTCAATGGGGCTGCCACGTGATGAACGAATGACTTGAACCCGAAGTCGATAGACTCGAAACGTGTACGTATCCGGTACTACAGACTGCATAGCTCAATGGGGCTGCCACGTGATGAACGAATGACTTGAACCCGAAGTCGATAGACTCGAAACGTGTACGTATCCGGTACTACAGACTGCAAAGTTAAGTTTATGAGGATGTCACAGGATGAACGAACGGCTTAGATCGGGAGGTGAGGTAACTAACAGACTGCATAGCCTGAAGACCCAAATAAATTAATGAATCATTTCCGTCTCTCATAATTTGGCCTTTTCCTTGCATCGCACTTTTTTTCTTATTCTAAATGCGATCAACATTTGATGTGTTTGGGGAATTTGGCTACCATTTTAAATACATTCTACTGAAATGAACAAAAGGTTTTCGAAAAAAGATTTGTTAATTTTGATGAACGAGATTCAAAGATCCAAGTCAGTAAAATGATCCGAACGTGCCACAACTATTACACACGTGTGCTGGATGAAGTGGATATGCACCTGTAGTCAACTGGTTGCCTGTGTTGTTCATTATTTTGGGGGCGGAGCAATGAAGGGAGGTGTGTGTTTGTTTGGCTGTCGATTTTAAATATCAACAGTGTTTATCAGAAATCACTGACTGCACTTTTAACTAGCTGGCAGTAAACATCAGTAGATCGCTGCTGCATGTATGAGATGGTTACCGTTTTATTCCTTGATGTTCTTGCTTTGCCTGACAGCTTATGTGGACCCTTGCTGTTCACCTTGTCCAATTCAGGAAAGGGAAGAGAAGCTGCACAATGGGGCTAAGAAAGCAGGAAATATTTGTGAAGGACAGAAAAACTTGTTTATGTTCATTTCTCTAGCTGTCCTACACTTTAACTATCATTTCTTTCACACACATCTCTAAGCTGAAATAGTCAATAATATAATGATACAGATGTTTTAAAGTGGACCTACCGATTTCTGCGGGCCCAAACTGCTGGCTGGCTTTTTATCAGTGGATTCTGCTGATGCTTGATTTAAAGGCTTCAGAAATATGAGACCACAATCACATGGTAACTAATCAGAATGACAGTAAAAGATTATCATGAATTACTGATCAATCTCTTTAGCATTTTCTTGATAGTACCTTGACTCGCCATGGCCAATCTGAGTCTCCATAATTGTAAGTGATTTCTTCTCCTGGTAGAATGTCTCGTACAGCAAAGAGACACAGGTGAGGTTTTCTGCTCACTTCAACGGTTCTCATTTTGCAAGTAGGATTTCTGGTCTGATCGTTTACAAGTCTTCCCAAGGACAACCCGTCTTCTTTAGATGCATCCATGCTATAAAGACATCCAATTATCACTCAATACTTGTAATCTTAGTATACATGATAGAAATGTACAGTTATTTTCTATAAGTGGTTCTGAACCCCAGTCCTGGGAACCCACCGCTCTGCATATGCTGTATGTCTCGTGTTTTAATCCAGCTGATTCAGATGAGGAGTTTATCATCAGAACACGGCTCTATGAACTCAACTGAGTGTGTCTGGTGAAGGAGACATACAGAATCTGCAGAGAGGGTCTGAAAACCACTGATATATATGATAGTGTACTGCAACATCCTCTCAGCTCTCAGATAAAGCCATCTCAAATTAAAGGGATACTTCACCTCTGCGAAGATGAATATGTATTTAAAATGGGTCATTTATGTAGAAGAAATGTGAAATTATTTTTGAATTTGGAGCTTTCTACTGTAGACTGAGAAAAGCCAGAAAATGTATTTTTGGCTTATGTGGATGAAAGACAACAACTCCCAGAATGCACTTGCTTCGCTGCCCTAGGAGGCCACGCCTACCGGTAACAGAGCGCAGTAGTTAAACAACAAGTATAGGCTACTAGTGAGTTCGAAAATGTGTTTTGAGATCGCCCAAAATGTTCGGGATTCGGCTTTTGCGTTCTACAGTCACCATTCATTATGTTTACTGTGGCGAGCAGGACGAGTGAGAGCCGCGGGAGAACGACGCGAGTCATGTTTACTGTGGCGAGCAGGACGAGTGAGGGCCGCGGGAGAACGACACGAGTCATGTTTACTGTGGCGAGCAGGACGAGTGAGGGCCGCGGGAGAACGCGCGAGTCATGTTTACTGTGGCGAGCAGGACGAGTGAGGGCCGCGGGAGAACGGCACGAGTCATGTTTACTGTGGCGAGCAGGACGAGTGAGGGCCGCGGGAGAACGGCACGAGTCATGTTTACTGTGGCGAGCAGGACGAGTGAGGGCCGCGGGAGAACGGCACGAGTCATGTTTACTGTGGCGATCAGGACGAGTGAGGGCCGCGGGAGAACGGCACGAGTCATGTTTACTGTGGCGAGCAGGACGAGTGAGGGCCGCGGGAGAACGGCACGAGTCATGTTTACTGTGGCGATCAGGACGAGTGAGGGCCGCGGGAGAACGGCGCGAGTCATGTTTACTGTGGCAAGCAGGACGAGTGAGGGCCGCGGGAGAACGGCGCGAGTCATGTTTACTGTGGCGAGCAGGACGAGTGAGAGCCGCGGGAGAACGACGCGAGTCATGTTTACTGTGGCGAGCAGGACGAGTGAGGGCCGCGGGAGAACGGCGCGAGTCATGTTTACTGTGGCGAGCAGGACGAGTGAGGGCCGCGGGAGAACGACGCGAGTCATGTTTACTGTGGCGAGCAGGACGAGTGAGGGCCGCGGGAGAACGACACGAGTCATGTTTACTGTGGCGAGCAGGACGAGTGAGGGCCGCGGGAGAACGCGCGAGTCATGTTTACTGTGGCGAGCAGGACGAGTGAGGGCCGCGGGAGAACGGCACGAGTCATGTTTACTGTGGCGAGCAGGACGAGTGAGGGCCGCGGGAGAACGACGCGAGTCATGTTTACTGTGGCGAGCAGGACGAGTGAGGGCCGCGGGAGAACGACACGAGTCATGTTTACTGTGGCGAGCAGGACGAGTGAGGGCCGCGGGAGAACGCGCGAGTCATGTTTACTGTGGCGAGCAGGACGAGTGAGGGCCGCGGGAGAACGGCACGAGTCATGTTTACTGTGGCGAGCAGGACGAGTGAGGGCCGCGGGAGAACGCACGAGTCATGTTTACTGTGGCGAGCAGGACGAGTGAGGGCCGCGGGAGAACGGCACGAGTCATGTTTACTGTGGCGAGCAGGACGAGTGAGGGCCGCGGGAGAACGGCACGAGTCATGTTTACTGTGGCGAGCAGGACGAGTGAGGGCCGCGGGAGAACGGCGCGAGTCATGTTTACTGTGGCGAGCAGGACGAGTGAGGGCCGCGGGAGAACGGCACGAGTCATGTTTACTGTGGCGAGCAGGACGAGTGAGGGCCGCGGGAGAACGGCACGAGTCATGTTTACTGTGGCGATCAGGACGAGTGAGGGCCGCGGGAGAACGGCACGAGTCATGTTTACTGTGGCGAGCAGGACGAGTGAGGGCCGCGGGAGAACGCGCGAGTCATGTTTACTGTGGCGAGCAGGACGAGTGAGGGCCGCGGGAGAACGGCACGAGTCATGTTTACTGTGGCGATCAGGACGAGTGAGGGCCGCGGGAGAACGGCGCGAGTCATGTTTACTGTGGCGAGCAGGACGAGTGAGGGCCGCGGGAGAACGACGCGAGTCATGTTTAATGTGGCGAGCAGGACGAGTGAGGGCCGCGGGAGAACGGCGCGAGTCATGTTTACTGTGGCGAGCAGGACAAGTGAGGGCCGCGGGAGAACGGCACGAGTCATGTTTACTGTGGCGAGCAGGACGAGTGAGGGCAGAGGGAGAACGGCTCGAGTCATGTTTACTGTGGCGAGCAGGACGAGTGAGGGCCGCGGGAGAACGACACGAGTCATGTTTACTGTGGCGAGCAGGACGAGTGAGGGCCGCGGGAGAACGACACGAGTCATGTTTACTGTGGCGAGCAGGACGAGTGAGGGCAGCGGGAGAACGGTGTGAGTCATGTTTACTGTGGCGAGCAGGACGAGTGAGGGCCGCGGGAGAACGACACGAGTCATGTTTACTGTGGCGAGCAGGACGAGTGAGGGCCGCGGGAGAACGACACGAGTCATGTTTACTGTGGCGAGCAGGACGAGTGAGGGCCGCGGGAGAACGACACGAGTCATGTTTACTGTGGCGAGCAGGACGAGTGAGGGCCGCGGGAGAACGACACGAGTCATGTTTACTGTGGCGAGCAGGACGAGTGAGGGCCGCGGGAGAACGACACGAGTCATGTTTACTGTGGCGAGCAGGACGAGTGAGGGCCGCGGGAGAACGGCG